ATTTCTGAAGAAGGGTCTACGCCCAAAACGTCAGCTTTCCTGCTCCTCTGATGCTGCTTGGCCTGCTGTGTTCATTCAGCTCTGCATCTTGTTATCTTAAAATAGTTCGGTGGTTGTTTTTCACTGCAAGAGACTGGATGGGCTAAAGGGCATTTTTCTCTGCTGCAGATCTCCACAATTCTATATCAATTGCTAGAGATTATGATCAACGCAAATTTAATTCTCACGTACACAAACACAGAAAGGATGAATTTGCAGAGTTCTAAGGAAACTGCTACAGGAAGTGGACTAAACTGGTCAGCTGTTTTAAAGAGCCTGCACGTTAATTATCGGCCAGTCGCAAATTTCTCGTGTTAAAGATGCTATGATTCTACTAAGCCAGAACTTTATCAAATCTGTATAAATGTACAATGGAGCTTGAAATCAAACAAACTGAAATATGCCAGATCCTGATCTGTGTTTCTGTTAAGCCTTGGATGGGGCAAAACTTCCACAAAGCTGTTAGAGGGCCAGTGACCTCAGATAGAGCACTGACTCAGGAGTTTCCACAATCCTGGCCCTCAAAGGAACCCAGTGCAGAAGATGTAGCACCAGCCTGGTGAGACCAGATGGACTCACCTAATAAAAGCCACATGTGGACCCTCATTATAAGACCCAGGCTTAGATTATAACTGCCTCCAAAAAAGGAGAAATATGTTTTATTTGTTTAACTGTAATTGCCCTCTTTCTGAGGATGACCCACCCATTGAATAGCAGGACATCAAAATATGAAGGAAGAAATTTAAATGTTGGGCAACCTCAGTTCAGATTCTAACTGTAAAAGAGAAAGGCATAACAGCAAAATAAACAAGGAATTTAAAAAGCCTAATAACAAAAATTTTAAAAAGTCAAACCTTGATAATTTCACAATTTTGTGACTTCCTTTCTACTTAAATGTGAGGACTAAAACAGTGAGTTACTTTCTCTACGTTAACTGTTTAACGCTAAACTGGCTCAGGATTTAAATTAGAAAAGGCCTTATTCTCCTTACTGCCAAAATCACAAATAATTCTGTTTGGTAACTGCATTCTCTTTAATTCTATGAAATAGGGTTTTAGCCTTCAAGCTGTCAACCGTAGAGTTTCAGCCAACCAATAACCTACTCATTTCTTTAAGGAAATCACACGTAGTTATCAAATCAAATTCACTGTCCTGAGATGAGAGCCTACCTTTTTGTGGGGTGAAGAGATTCTGCAGTCTGTATACAGCTAATAATATCCTAAAATTCTATCCATAACAGGTGCAAAAAAAGTTCAAAAATGTGCTCATTGCAAATATAAACCATGATAGCTCAAAAATTCTTAACTAAGGTACCAAGAATCACCAATCACATTTAACTATCTACTATAGCTCGTGCCTTGATACAATTTCCTTTTTAAAATGTTTTGTTGGAACAGTAGAAATGAAGTGAGATTTTGAAATGGGCTACAACTTTTTTTAAAAAGATAATGGTTGTTAATTTTTTAAAAATTTTATTTGGGTGTCATTTCAAAGCAAATGATCTTGTTCTTAAGAATGCAGTTTTCGCTCGAAGTTCCACTGTGGGATTTTAAATTAGAATGACCTCAGAATCCAAGAAAATCTCCTTTGAAACATGTTGTGTTTTACTGTGAGCTATATTTCTTTGCTGTCTTCAACAAAAACAAATACACATTAAAAATATATGTTACCCAAATATTTCCTCTGTAGCAAATGCAATTCCTGCTACAGTCCTCCATAAGATTGAAAATCAATCATTTTTCCTTTAGTCCATATTTGAGTATTGAGGATCTTGCAGCAGCAATGGTATCACTACATATGGATTTTCAAAGTCGATAAGATGTGCAACTGGAGGAGCACAGCAAGTCAGACAGTTTCTGAAGGGCAGCAAAGTCGCGTTTCGGGTTGGGACCCTTCATCAGGACTGGGGAAGGGAGCTCAGATAAATAGAGGGAGGGGGTGGGGCTGGGGGAAGGAAGGTGGGATGGTGATAGGTTGATGTAGGTAGGGGGTTGTAGAGATTGGTCAATGGGAAGGGTGGGAGGCGGATAGGCGAGAAGGAAGATGGACAGGTTGTGTCAGGTCAAGGAGGTGGGGATGAGAGGGAGGGCTGGACATGGGATGAGGCCGGGGGTATGGAGATTTTGAAGCTGGTGACCTCTATGCTGAGGCCATTGGGTCGTAAGCTCCCGAAGCGGAATACAGGGTGTTGTTCATCCAGTTTATGTGCGGCCTTATTGTGGCAGTGGAGCTGGCCAATGATGGACATGTCGCCGAGGGAGGGGTGGGGGAGTTGAAATGGCTGGCATTGAAGGTGGAATCGATTGGTGTGTACAGAGCACAGATGCTCCACGAATCAGTCACTAGGTCTCCGCTTGGTCTCTCCAATATAGAGAGAACACATCGGGAGCAATGGATGCAACAGACCCGGTTAGAAGACGTACAGGTGAATCCCTGTCTGACTTGGAATGATTGTTTGGGGCCTTCAACAGAAGTGTAGGGGCAGGTGTAGGGAAAGGCACCGGGTGTGGAGAAAGGATTGGTAGGGAATGTGGAGCAGACGAAGGAGTCACAGACTGAGCGGTCCCTATGGAAGGAAGTATCTTTTTCGTGGTACGGTCTGATTGCAGGTGGAGAAAGTGGCAGAGGATGATGCATTGGATTTGGAGTTTGGTGGGGTTGTATGAGAGGACCAGGTGGACTCTAACCTTATTATGGTTGGGGAGAGGGGATTTTGAGGGCAGGAGTGTGGGAAATGCAGGAGGTACAGTTGAGGGCATTATGAATCATGGGAGAGGGGAAATTAGAGTCCCTGAAGTAGGAGGATATCTGGGATGTCCAAGATTGGAATGTTTCATCTTGGGAGCATGGGATCGCATTTTTGCAAGAGGCTGAGTTAGAGGAGGTGCATTTGAGGTAGCTGCGAGAGTCAGTGGGTTTGAAATGGATGTCTGTGCTAAGTTGGTTGCCGGAGCTGGAGGCAGAGACGTCCAGGAATGGGAGGGAGGTGTCAGAGATGGTACAGATGAATTTGAGGTCAGGCTGAAAGGTGTTGGTGAAGTGGATGAACTGTTTATGGGAGCACGAGCCAGCACCGATAGTCATTAATGTAGCAGAGGAAGAAGTAAGGGATGGTGCCAATGTAACTGCGGAAGAGGGACTGTTCCATGTATCCTACGAAGAGACAGGCATAGCTCGGTCCCATGCAAGTGCCCATAGCCACCCCTTTAGTTTGTAGGGGGTGGGAGGAGTTAAGAGGAAAGTTGTTGAGAGCGAGGACAAGTTCCGCCAAGTGGATGAGAGGGTCGGTGGAGGTGAACTGTTTGCCCTGCGGAAGAGGAATAAACAGAGAGGGCTTTTAGGCCCTCTTCATGGGGGATACAGATGTAGAGAGGCTAAATCTTCATGGTCAAGACAGGGTTTTGGGGGCGGGGAACTGAAAGTCTTGGAGAAAGTAGAGGGCGTGGGTAAATAACATTTTACCTGAAACACGATATAACTAAGACAACATAGGAAAGAACAGTGTCTCTGCAAGGGAGTTGATGAAATGACTAAGGATGTAGGATTAACTACTGAATTAATCAAGGGATTTTAAATTCTCCAACCATGCAGCGATCTTAATAAAATTCTTGTCCATCCATTGGATGTTCTCCTCTATTGTTTCAATTGCTTGCTGAACACATCGGAGCTGAGAACCTTTATCCTTTAATGATTCAAAAAATCCTTGGACCTAGAAAACAGATTAATGAGAATTGATCTCTTTCAATGAAAGTAAATGATTAAAATAGAGAAACTGGTTAATGAATGATAATTAACTGTGTTCTGCAAATCACAAAGCAAGAAAATAAAAGTATATGAAGATATATTATGAATTACTCCAATGTTGCATCTTGTGATTTGTTCCAACGGTTCCATCATTTTATCATCACATAAATATTGCACAGCTGGAAAAGAACAGGAAAAGAGGAAGGGAGAGTAGGAGAGAAAACCAACTAAGTGTTATCAAATCAAGGATATTTGAGTAGGAAATTCATAATACCCCCGTGGTAGCACAAAGCCTAAAGAGAAATAATCAACAATTTAGTTCTGCCATTTACTGGTAAGACTGTCATATTTATCCCCAGACATCCTCAGCTAAGGAGCAGTAAGCCAACAATGCTCCCAGAAAACAGATTGTGTGTGTGTATAGCAAATCCAAGAATATAAGGAACAGCACTAACCACTCTACTTGGCCTTTCTCAGCTTTATGAAAGTTTTTGATTCTGTCAAATGTGGAGACTTATAGAGTATCCTCCCTAAATTTGGCTGCCCTCAAATTGGTCACCATTCTCTGCCTACTCCACAATGAGAAACAAACTGTGATCCTCATCAATTGAACTTAACAAGATGGCAGCAGGGTAAGACACTCCAGTCGGAGTTGCTCTGCTCGCCAGTTCCTTTTCCTTTCTTGCTTTTTCTCCACTTTGTCCTCCTTGCAGTATTTCTTCCCCCACCCCCCTCAAGGGAGTCGAGTTGCGATGGAGACTGGGCAGGTCCTGAGCACGGGGGCTGTGTCGCACAGGAGCAGCCGAACAGGCCGTGTCTCGGAGCGACGGGGCAGGCCAAAGGCAGCAGGGGAATCCTGAGCGGCACAAGGTGAAGTGAATCCCGGCACAACACGTGTTACCTTGTTGCTGCTGAGTGCAGGTGAGGAACGGACTGGAGATCGGAACGATGCGGGACAATTGCTGGACTTGGGCCTGGCACCACGTGCTGAGGCACTGCCATTTCGAATTCTTCACTAGACTGTAATGTAATTCCTTTTCGCAATGTTATCACTACCTCATTTCTACATTATTCTTCGACAGTAAGTAATGCTACTGCTTTCCTTTAATCCTCTTTTGTATAATAACACTTGTTTTAACTCTAAGATTTGTACCTAAGATGGTGCTTTTAAAACGCAGCTATTGTAAAACCTTTCCATTGTCCTGCTGTCATCCTGTACTAGAGTACAAGTGACAAAAAAGGATATTCATATTCATTCATACCACAAACTATCTCAACATAATAAAACAAAGAACTGTGGATGCGGGAGATCGAAACATTGGAAACTGGATTCAAATAAAGCTGTGTCATTAGAAACTGTCCTCCAGTTCAAAACGAAAACCACTCGAACCTCAGAAACAAAAACAGAAATTTGCTGGAAAAGCTCAGCAGGTTTGGCAACATCCGTGGAGAGAAATCAGAGTTAGTGTTTCAGGTCAAGTGACCCTTCCTCAGTCATTGAGCTTCAATATGTAGATGGTGATTGTTTATGCACTCACTCAGCAACTGAACCCCACGTTGTTATTTACTGCTCTAGACCATGTGGGAAACATTTCACTAAACACCCAGAAAACTTATGAGTTAGTGTGTGTGAAGAAGTAACTAAAAAAATTCCCACATGATCCTTACATAAATTTACAGCAGGAGATCTGCTGTCACCATATACAGGTATATAGCAACTAGGGTTAGAACTTTAGGAAGCAAAGTGAGTGGAAAATAAGAAAGACTACAGACTTTGCGTTGCTGGATGGGTACATTAACTTTCCTTAGTATATGAAGGCAATGCGAGTCAGAATCATTAAAAAAAATTGGAACCATATTGAATACTGCACTTTCTTCAGATAGATCTGCATTTTACAACATTAGGACATAATAAAATTTTTGACCGTTACCTACCTCTTCAAGGTGAAGCCTTGTTGAATACTGAGATGTAATACCAGTCACTGTGTATGCAATTGAAGATGATCCAAGTTCAAACCTAAGGAGCAATTTAAATGAATAATGACAGCATTCCATGACAAGATGGTTTACACCGTTCAAAAGTAAGAAAAGGATCCACAAGGGTCAAGGCAAATAACAATACAATTTCAATCGAAAAATCTCATTTTAGTTTTTTCAAAAATACCCATGGTTCTGAATTTGTTGATGCTGTATTTATCTCCCCCAGGGAACCCACAAAATACATATCTTCCTAAAAATAGCAACTGGTCCTGAATTCCAGCCAATATCAGCCAGTTTTAGATTTCCCATTGCTGTGTTCTACCACCAGGTGTGTTCTTTTGATTACTAAACAAACATTACCACCTCTTCCCTTTCCAAATGCTGATGAACTCATTATTTTTCTGGATTTGTTGCATTTGATTTCCTCTTCCAGGCAGAACAACTGGATAATCAACACTATTGCTCACTGCAGGTGCAGTCAATACCACCTGCTAGCATGTAAGGCATGCCAGGAAAAGGGAGGACGGGAATGCCATTATCAAGATAGGGTAGTTAACAGCACAATGGAACCAAATCTGGGGCATGTGGACCTAATTTGTTGGCACAAAATTTTGAAGCTCTGGAACAAAATAGTTTTATATTCACCTTCTAAAAAAGACACAGCAGTATCAGGGGTTCTCCTCAATTGATAATGTATAACCAACTCCAGTTGCTGATCTTTATCTAGCTACAATTCTTTTCTCTTCCTCCTCGTGCTGATATATTCCCAATGTGGTTCTCTTCTCTCTGACATGCATGTGTTTTTCTCTGTTTCTTATTTTATATATATTGCTATTTGCCGCTGTTATCTAAAGTTGAAGCTCATGGAACTGAAGGTAATTATTAACCAATTAGGTTTGAGCACAAGAAACAAGGGAATAGGGACAATGGGCAGGTATTCGCAGGATAGCGCCCCAAAAGGATTTGTTTTTAAAAGCTCAACTATTGAATCATATTTGTTATTACTTAGATGATGAGGTAGAAAGATATATGACCAAATTTGCTGATAATCTAAATGCTGATATTTTACAGAGATATCAAGCAATAAGCAGTGTACATGGAAACATGAAGTCACACAACAATTTGTGACTGATAGATTAATTAAATGGGCAAAACTGTGACAGTTGGATTTCAAAATAGGCAAGTCACCTACTTTTCACCAAAAAAGACAGAAGACACTATGCTCTAAATGGTGGACAGCTAGAAACTCTGAACATCCAAAGACACAGAGGAGTCTATGCACATAAAACATTAAAATGCCATGGAAAAGTAAGAAAATGATCAACAAGGTTAATGGAACAAGACCTTCACATATAATGGGATAGAATATAAACAGTGCATAATCATGATTCAGCTAAGATACCACACCTGGATTACAATAGCACCATATTTTACATATTGCACTTAGAAGTAGTGCAACCTAGCAGAATTATATTTGGATTCCAATTGTTACATTATGAGGTTAGATAAACTAGGAGTTGTATTCCTTGAAATTTAGATGAGAAGATGATTTATTTGATGTTTTCAAAACAAGGAGCGGAAATAAGAAGATAGAATAGAGTGTTAGTCCAACCATTTCAAGTATGACTTTCCCTTCATCATAAGGTCAGAAAGTGAGGTGTTCGCCAATGACTGCACAATGTTTATTTTATTTATTAATTCATGAAATGTGACATTGCTGACTAGGTTAGCATTTGTTGTCTATCCCTAATTGCCCTTGTTCAGTACCATTTGCAGCAACTGAAGCAGTCGGTGTTTGCATGCAGCATGAACTGGAAAGGCTTGGTCTGATTAGTAGCAGATATCATTCGTGCCACCCAAGTGCCAGGCGAGGACCACTTCCAATGAGAGAAGCTAACTGTTGCCCTTTACATTCAATGGCATTACCTTTGTTGAATCTGTCACTATCGGTATGTTGGGCGTTACCATTGAACTTGATGGCCATATAACCACTGTGAGCAGGTCAGAGGCTGGTATTCTCACCTCAGAGTATCCCAAAGCCAATTCATCATCCACAAGACAGAAATCCAGAAAGTGAGGCAATACTCTCCACTTGTCTGAATGAATGCAGTCCCAGTAACACTCAAAAAGCTTGTCACAATTCAGGACAGTGAGGAGTTAAACTCAATTTAAAATTATCACAATGAGAGTAGAGGGGCAACTTAGGAGATTTTCATGTCAAAAGACATTAAATTAGAGCATAGAATGCTTTGTCACATGTGGTAGTTGAGGTATAAAACATTTTTCAAGAAAATATGGACAAATATTTGATGATGTGGATGATATAGGATGGACAGAGAGACAGACAATGCCAGTATTCCAGTTTACTCCAGCAAATAACAAGCAGGGATATGACAGGTTGAAGGATTTCCTTCTTAGTTATTAATGTATATGAATGCAAAGATACAAATTTCATTTTCTGCTTGCCCGTTTCTATTTCAATCATTGACTGAGCAGCATAGGAAAATCAGAAGGAGGGGATATCAACACTTCAGGTAAATGGGTTGCAGGTTTTTGACGGTTTCATCCATTGCATTATCTATGGGAAGCTGGCTAAACATGAACATTGCAATTTTGAAGTGCAAATGGGCTATATTTGCCAGGTAGCCTTTTTTAAAAAAAGATCAGTGGGTAGTCACTGCATAAAATGTTGCCAACTTGTGCTCAATCCCTCTCTACGTTGGTCTGGGAGGCAGGAGGTAGACAATGAGCTGTAAGAAAGACCAGTTCAATACCAGCTGCTAATGATGCTGGATCTTCAAAATGGTTCTGACTTCTTGGGTACATGGTACAGCCATTCCATCAACTAATGCTCTTTTGGGTATTTGTCTAAATTCATCCTCCAAGCACCTGAGCTGGCCAACCTTCCAGGCCTTGACATTTCTGTCATTCCTTAGCCCATGTCTGACTTGTATCTCTCCCTCTTTCATATCCTCACTTTCCCACCCAGCATTGCCTATGTCTGAACCTGTCTCATTCTATTTGCCTCTTCTCCATATGAGATAATAAGAAAATGGATGAAATCAGTAATTTTCATAAAGAATTAATCTTGTTTGCTGCATATGTTTCTTTTCTTGCTTTCATTATTTTCTTAAACTATAAACACCTATCCCCATTTTAACCAGGCTATTCATTTCCTCTTTCCTCATAATTCAGGTACCTTTCCCAAGAAACCACTGTTCTATTTTAGATGTAAACAGTGCCCCTCACTGGGTTCTTTTCTTTCTTCTACTTCAACCTTTACCTCCTACTTCTCTCCTCTACCTCCAGAGAAAACCCCTCACTCTTTCCCACATCTTTTCCCATTCTGTCTACTTCTCTCTTCTCATTGCAAGCTTTTCCCTTTAGACATTTTCACCCAAAAAACTCAAGTACAGGCTGTTCTTTATCTATGGAAATGGACTGCTTGTTCATACACTGACAGGATTTACAATATATCTGCAATGTTACTGAACAGGTGTGACAAGCATTTTAAAACGTGAGTAGCTGGTTTTCTAGCAACAAAACAGCACAGCAACACTGGAGCTCAGATAGCGGTCAGATTCATGCTTTGTGCCCTGAAGGTAACAGATAGGCAAAATTAGTAGTCACTTAAAGCCCAGGAACAGCTGAAGGAGGACATGTGAATATCGACTTCCATTGAAGAGATTCATGGCAAATGCCCTGAAACTCCAGCTAGTTACAAATATTTTCTAATCAATGTATTCAGAGATGTTATTAATTACCTCTGGAGCAGGTAGGACTTGAACCCAGGTCTTCTGGATCAGAGGTAGAGAACTATGCCACAAAAGCCCTCTCCAAACAAATATATGGCTTATTCCTTTCCTACATTCCCTCATGCAAATTTCTCTAACCACATCATATTTTCAGTTCTATGAATTGGCAAAGACATAATGAGAAATTACTGGTTAGACACGGACTACAATAATTAGCATAAAATTAGATTGCAGGAGATCTTGTTCAAGAGGTTTGTGGCTCTGTACCTGAAGTGCTATAACCTGGACCCAGTTGCTGCGTGGGAATAGATTAAGTAGCTTGTCATTCTTTTTGTTTTTCAGTCAGTACAGACACAACTGAATGAGTGGTCTCTTTCTGTGCTGTAACTATGGTTACAGAAATCTCTGCCCACAGAGATTTACATAAGACAAGATACTTGTAAAAGCCTGAACTGTAACATTAGTGGAGGGGAGCAGCTGTCCAAGCAAAGTTATCTTTCTGTTGTTTGAAGCATGTCCTATCAGTTCTCTCCCTGCTCCTCCAGCAATGGGAGCATCCACTCTTTCAGAATTGCCATCTAGTGGCCTAGAAAAGAATATCATCCTTCAGGTCACAAAAGGAAAGGTCAGAGAATTTCTGAAGAAGGGTCCTGACCCAAACGTCAACTTTCCTGCTCCTCTGATGCTGCCTGGCTTGCTGTGTTCCTCCAGCTCCACACTGTGTTATCAAGGTTAGAGAACTGTATTTTTTTGTTTCCAGGGCATTCCTTTTTCAATAGAAGAAAATGGTACTTTGCATTGGCAATGTTTTCACCTTTAGCAATGCCTGCTTGATTCTCCCTAGTCAGGTAGGCCTGGGGCAGATTGCAGGTTTCCATCACCAGTTATTCAGAATGGGACAACCCCAGATACTCCTACAACTGGTTCTGCAAAGAGGCTAAACCCGACTCTAGCAACCAGGATCATGATCAAGTTAACAAAATTCTTATTGACCAGTATTTTTAGGTCAATGAATATATAATTTCTTTGAGGTCAAATAATTTGAGCATAAAAAGATACGCCCCAAACATGTCATACCATCAAACTGAATGAAATTTTAGTCTGCAGGTAAACAAACATAGGAGCCTTACAATTTTGTTTCTATACTTCAATGTAAATCACAAAAACTACAACACTGAATTTTACAATAAAATGCTGTTATGAAATTAACTAAAAAAAAGGACTGTTGACTTAAAATAAACACCAAATGCATTTGATAAATGCCCCACATTCTCTACTGTTGAACTGTTATTATTGTTGGAACTTGCTGCCACGGGCAATAATGTTGAACAGCTAGATTGCATCTAAGGGGAAGTTAGATAAACACGAGTGAGAAAAGAAAACAGAGAGCACTGCTGATTGAGTTAGAGGAAGAAGGATGGGTGGAGGTTTGCATGGAGCATAATCAGCGACATTGACTATTTGGACAGAATGGCCTGTTCATTTGTTGTATAATTCTATAGCATGCAATGTAGTAAAGGAGTTAGTTAAACCAAAACAAAGTACAAAAAAAAGTACGTTCCTCAATGCATGCATCTCAAGAATTGTTAGTTTTCCAAGTTCTTTTTAAAACATTTGCACAGAAATATATTTTAGAATCAGTTTTCTACATTTGGCCTGATTTTCCTGCCCTGACATGGGGCCAAATTGTTCTGTGTATGGCAGGAGGTATCCAATTCCAAGTTTACATAGAGTCACAAAGTATTATAGCTTAGAAAGAAGCCATTTCGCCCATCATGTCCATGCTGGTCATCAGATACACATCTAGTCAAGTCTCAATTCCCAGCACTTGGCCGATATGCTATAGTCTTTCAAGTATTTATTAATAATCTCTTAAATATTATGATGATTTCGCCTCTACCACCCTTTCAAGCAGTGGGTTCCTGATATCTCAACACCTTCCAGGTGAAAAAAAAATTCCTTAAATCTCTTCTAAACCTTTAATGTTATGTCTCCTGGTTACTGACCTGTCCACCGAGGGGAAAAATCTCCTCCTATCTACCTGACCTATACACCTTATAAACTTTGTACACCTCAAATCAGATGCCCCTCTCAACCTTCTCCATTTCAAGAAAAAACAGTCCCTAGCCTCTCCATTTTGTTTTCAATGTTCAGCCTGGACAACATGCTGGTGAATCTCTTCTGCACCCTCTCTTGTGCAAGCACATCTTTCCTATAGTGTGGCGACCAGAACTGCATGCAGTAATCTGGCTGTGGCCTAACTAAAATCTCACACAGATCCATCATAATCTTCCTGCTTTTGTATTCAACGTCTCAACTAATAGAGGCAAGTATCTCATATGGCTTTTTAACTGCCTTATTCACATGCCTGGTTACTTTCAAAGTTCAATGGACAGTCACATCAAGGTCCTTCCAGTCCACTGTATTTCCCAGGAGGCTACCATTCATCATGTTCTCCTTTGCCTTGTTAGTCCTCTCAAAATGAATCATCTCACGCGCTTCAGGATTGAACTCATTTACCAAGGTTCTGCCCATCTGACCAGCCTCAGCACCTAGGGTTCTCTGGACTTGTTGCCCCCCTCACCTTCATTTCCTTTTGAACACTCTCGTCCCGACCCGAAACGTCAACTTTCCTGCTTCTCTGATGCTGCCTGGCCTGCTGTGTGCCTCCAGCCCCACACTGTGTTATTCCCCACGTCTCTGATGTAGATTTTCCTTCAAGTAGCTACTCCCAGTCTGACTCCAATTCCCATCACCGTCAAATATCATTGGCACAGAAATGGAGCAGGTCATGTGACTGTAACCAACTGTCACGATGCTGTGGAAGTGTTAATTTCAGACCTTTTACAATGTTCAAAATGTCAGGTTGACTTCGGAAGGAAATGGGTATCCTATTGGCTCAGAGGTGTCATGATCCAATGCTGAAATACTATTAGAAAGCAGAAATCATACGGAAAATAATTTCAAAAGATGCTTCCAACATCACATGTCAAATGAAATGTTTTAGCAAAGATGTACATGTTTTTGCTGCAGTGATTGATGAGAGAGTTTTGAAAATTTAAATAACCATTAAACAATATTGTGCGAAAGGAAAATACATCAGATGCATCAGAATACAAGATCTTTACATTATCTGCACTGCACAATAGTGACATTCAGATTCCATTGCCCCTTTGCTTTCATGATTTCCTTGAAGTTCAGCTCAATCATCTATTTGGCTCTTTCAAATCTTTAACAGAAAACTAAACCTTTAGTATACAGATCTGGAGGTTCTGTTGACACAGTCATTCAGTGGAACCTCAGCCTGAATTCTGAGTAGCATAGTCACTAAAGAATTCTACTGAGCAAGGATTGTTGAAGCATTGTCATGCAAAATGTCAGCTTAGTTACTTTGACAGAAGCATGAACTGTTAAGAGGATTATAGTTTCTTTAAAGTGGATTTTTATGTACTGTTTATGTATTTTGACAGATCTATGAGCTTCTCAAAGATGTCTCAATGTTATTAAGTAATCAGTGAGTTCTGTGTAAAATATAATGAATGAAAAGATGGAGAGGAGTGTATGGGGTTGGACATTGAGGGGGTTATGAATTGAGGGTTAAGGAGCCTCATATTCATCTCTGTACTGGGCTGGTGTCTTACTAATGGCTGCCTATGTACCAGAGATAACATGGTGTAGAGCTGGATGAACACAGCAGGCCAAGCAGCATCAGAAGAGCAGGAAGGCTGACGTTTCGG